GGCCCAGCAGCAAGACGCCCCCCACAAGCCCTCCACGAGAAGCCCAAGCCGTCGTAACCCAAGAAGCCCAGTGCACCCTGGCGGCACGCAGGGTGTTTTTTGGTGTGGGTCTCCACTGTAGATACACATCCCAGGATGTCCCACACTTGCCCATCTTTTCTGGACGTTTGCCTTCCCCACCCCGTCCTACATTTCCCCATTCCTGGGGATCGACGTTTCCTCTTCCCCTCCTGAAGCACTACGGTCAGCACGCCCCGTGTGTCCCTTGGCGACGGTGCGACGTGCTGTCTCCAGCGACCTGGCTCGTGCCGGACCCCGCGAACGGGGAAGGGGTGAACATCGGGGCTCGCCCAGAGATCCGTCGGCGGCGAGCGAGGGGCGGAAATGAGAAGCAGAAGGCCTTCGCAGGAGGCGGCGGGGCTTCTCAAAAATCCTCGCGCCTTCTGAGAGGTTGTCTGTGCATTGGGGGTCCCCAAACCGTGTGGTGACAGACCCAGCGGTGACCTCGGAATCCCCAAAGACCTCATCGCTCCGATTGCGGACAGCTCGCGCTCTTTACTCGAGGAGGAGAAGGAGGGGGAGGAGGATGATTGGGAGGGAAAGGAGCAGGAGAAGGAGAAGGAGAAGGAGGAGGAGGAGGAGGAGGAGGAGGAGGAGGAGGAGGGAGGAGGAGGGGGGGGGGCGGAGGAGGAGGGGGGGAGGGACAAGCTAGGTGCGCTCGCGTCATATCTGACATCCTACCCCTCCCTCCCATCCCTTACCATGGGGCAGATCCCCTCTCTACTCGCACAGTCGGATGTCGAGCAGGGCAATTATCCCGAAAGGGTACGTGATGCATTGTAGAGCACGGCGTGGCATGGCGTAGAAGAGCACCGCAAAGCGTAGCATCAACCTAGCATTGCATTGCACGCCGTGGCATGGCACGGAAAATGACGCCAGCGCTGCAGCGGGAGCACGAGTCGAAACAAGCGGAAGCGCGGAAATAGGCCAGCGCTGCAGCGGGAGCACGATTCGGAACGAGCGGAAGCGCGGAAATGAGGCCAGCGCTGCAGCGGGAGCACGATTCGGAACGAGCGGGGCCCGAAAATGAGGCCGGCGCCGCAGCGAGAGCAGCATGTCGAACAAAAATGCAAGCGAAAACCAAACTCCCGGGAAACCTGTGTAAAAACAACAGGACGCGGGGGGGGGGGGGAACACTCCCAGCACGTCATCAGGGGAAGAGGGAGAGTAGTATTCAGATTGAGTAATTGTGTAGGAGGAGCACGAGGAAGATGAGAAGGAGGAGGAAGAGGAGGAGGACGGAGGAGGGGGAGGGGGAGGAGGGGGAGGGTTTGTTTCATCAGCGATCCCATGGGGCCTGAACGGTGAGGACCCACCTTGTTCCCCCGACATGACCGGCAACGATCGCCGAGCTCAGGCCGACTGAGGGCGGCTTCAGGTCTGGATTCCTCTCGGGGTGCCCTGCGCACTGGGCAAACAAGGCAACACTCGACGCCCCCCCTCCTGCACCCAACCATGCGACAGCCCATGGCATGCCCTGGCGACGCGCCCAAGGTGCTCCACCCTGGCGCGTACGATGATCATGACGGCGACCGTGATGATGAAGAGGGAGAGAAGAAGGGAGGACGGGAACGAGGCGGAGTGGGAGGAAGAACGGCGATGGAGATCAGACGTAAAGTGGCAACGCACAGCAAGACCTCCGTGCGGACGCCAGCGCTCCTACTTGCGACTATGTTAAAGGGAAATTAGGACACACAAATAAATACACACAAATAAAAATAGTCCCCATATTTTCCCATATTTTCTGGGTTGTTGTCTTCCCCCCCCAATTCCCATATTTTCCCATATTTTCCTGGGAATCGAAGATTAATTGTGTCTGTGTGTTTTTTTCCCTCCTGATATGTGTGCTCCTCCATCTCCCGCTGCTCCCCCCTCCGAGCTCCGTCTTCCTCCCTCCCCAATCCCCCTCCCTTGGAACGCTGAGCACCCTCCTCTTACCACGCGCGTGTACTGCTCATTCTCTCCTTCTCGTCCTCCTCCCGCCCTCCTCCTCCCTCCTCCCTCCTGCTCGTTTTGCCTTTCCCCCTCCCTCCCCGTCCCTCCTCCCCCCCCCTGCCCTCCACTCGCCCTGTCCATCCCCCCCCCGATCCTCCTGCATCCGTTCCCCCGCCCCCCCGCGCTGCTCCTGCTCCTAGTCTTTCCCCCGTCCCCCCTGGGGAAATCAAAAAGTACTCCTCAGACCTGTCCCGGCGTGCGTTCAGACGAGAATCTCGGGGCGAATCCAGCCGCGGCGACGATCGCCTCCCGGGAGGCCCGCAGGAAGTAGCAGAACGAGGGAATGGCAACGGGGATGGGTACCTTTGCCTCCTCTGACCCCCCCCCCCCGTCAGCCTTCTGTTAGGCCGGGTCTGTCCCCCCACAGACCGATTTTGGATGACAAAAATTACAAGTACCCCCGACATGCGCAAACGATGCTCACAGATAGTCAAGCAATCCTCCCCAGACTATTTGTTCACCATTTCTAAATCTCCCTCCTGTAGAGGACAGGAAGGAAGAGGAGAAGGAGAGAAGAGGGAGGAGGAGGAGGAGGAGGAGGAGGAGGAGGAGCAGGAGGAGGAGGAGGAGGAGGAGGAGGAGGAGGGAAGAGGAGGAGGAGGAGGGAAGAGGGAGGAGGAGGAGGAGGAGGAGGAGGAGGAGGAGCAGGAGGAGGAGGAGGAGGAGGCCCGACTGAAGCCTCCTCCCCCGCCTTGGCCGAGGCCAGGTAGCCGAGGCAGACGTTGCGCAGGGTGCGCTTGGCGGCGCTGGGGCCTCGCACTCCCGCCGCCCGCCCGCCCGCTGCCGCCCCCCCCGGCCCGGGCCGTGGGCGTGCATCGGCGGCGCGCCGAGGGGCTATCGCTATCGCTATCGCTATCGGCTCGATGTCCAGTCGGACGCAGCCGTCCGCGCGGCCGGAGCTACGCGCGCGCGCCCTAGGCGCGTGGGGGGGGACCCCCCCCCCGACACAGACCCCCGCCAGGAGGGCAAAGTGAAAGCCGCCTTGGCTTCGAAAGGGGAGGGGCGGGGGCCGAAAAGGACCGAGAAAAAAGGGCCCAGGAGTTTCGGGGACGAAGAAGAGGATGACATGATGGAGGATGAGGGAGGGGCCTCTGACTGCAGGGCAGTTTTTGATACACTGAAGGGGCGCCAGGACACACAGATAAATACACACAAACAAAACAAATCCCCCTATTTTCCCATATTTTCGGGGTTTCTGTCTTCCCCCCCACTTCCCATCTTTTCCCATATTTTCTAGGGAATCGAGGATTAATTGTGTCTGTGTGTTTCTTTTCCTCCTGATACATAGGATTTTCCCTACCTAGACTCTGCCTAGAAGGGCTCTTACTGTGTGGGCTTCAAGGGCGGGGCAGTGGAACCCGCCCCGGGCGGTTCCCCCAGGATCCGCCCCGCGGTTCCCACAGTTACGTCTTCTTAGCTTAACGTTGCTCATTTCAGCTTGGCTTAACTTAATTCGTCTTGGCTTAGCTTAGCTTCATCTTAGAGGTTTATCTTAGCTTAGCTTACCTTCAGCTTAGCTTCGCTGAGCTTTAGCATAACCGAGCACAGTATAGCAGAGCGTAGCATAGCATGACGCATCACAGCATATCATTGCATAGCCCAGCATATCATAGCATAGCGCAGCATAGCATAGCATAGCATAGCGCAGCACAGCACAGCATAGCACAGCGCAGCATAGCATAGCATAGCAGAGCATAGCGCAGCTTAGCATAGCATAGCATAGCACAGCGCAGCATGACATAACATATCATAGCTTAGCTTAGCATAGCAAAGTGCATCATAGCATAGCATAGCATAGCGCAGCATAGCATGGCATATCATAGCATAGTTTAGCATAGCAACTAATGCTGCTTTCCTAGGGGCTCCAACTTCTAGGTAGGGTCGCACTGGGGTAATTAAACATACAGGATTTGTAATGCAATATTAATGTATGAATAAAGTTTTGCATGAACTCATCGTTGTTTTTAGTACTGAACCCATGCATTTTTAATACATGGTCCGCACGTGGAGCATGTATAAAAAAAACGGCACTGTACCGACCAGACCACCCGAACCCAACCCGAAGACCCGAATTTCGGGTTGGGAGGGGTATGGGCTCCGTGTGTGTGTTTTGCAACGTTCGCCGCACCCCCCCCACTGGAAACGAAGGGCAAATTGAGGGCTTCGGGTTGGGTTGGGGTGGTTTGGTGGGTGGGGGCAGGCCTCCTCCCGGTGGTTCACAAACGGGGTCTTGAAGGATGGGGGCCTAAGGACGAGGCGCCTCAGGCATTGTGCATTAACCCTTGGGGCCCGGTCCCTCAAGGCCCCATCTTTGGAACCGCCGAGTCCGTGAAGGCGGCGGGGGCTTCTCATAGGCCGTCTGGCCTTCCGAGAAGCCCTCCGTGCCTTCGGCGAAGGCTCGTGGAACTTCCCAGAAGGACTTCTGAGCCTTGTGAGACGGGACGCGCACTCTTCGTCTTGCCCCCCGTGGGCGCGCCGCCGAGAGAGGAGAGGAGGACAGGCAGGGGGATGTGGAGGAGAGGGGCAGGTGGCGCAGGGGGGGATGGGGAAGGAGGCACGATGGCGTGGAGGGGGGAGGTGGTGCCGGGGGGAGGGGGGAGGGCGAGGAGGCTAGCTAGGTGCTTGCGCATCATCTGACATCCTGTCCGTTCCTTTCATCCCTTCCCATTGCGCTGTTCTTCTCTATCCGCGGACGCGTGTCATAGCCGACCTGCAACTCCAGTCAAAAGACCACATCGTATGTTGCGCAGTCAGGAAAACGGGACCTGCCTACACAGGCCGCGGAGGTGGCGGGTGAGCCGGAGGATGAGCGGGAGGGAAAGGACGAGGTCGAACAGCAGCAGTAGGAACCGGAGTGGAAGGAGCGGGAGGACCGGGAGGACCAGGGGAAGGCGGAGGTGTAATGGAGGGGGGCGACAACAATGAAGAACGGCTCGGATCCAGAAAAGTTGCCCGCGCTGGGTCGGGAGCGCCATTCTGAACGACGAAGACAAAACGCCGAACCGAATATGAGGCACACGCTGCACCGGGATAATCACTTCGAAGCACAGAGAACAATCGAGTGGTAACAACTATGTAACGTGTGAGACCACAACTTCTGAAATCCTGGATGTAAAACAAACTCGCGGAGAGGGGCCGGGATCTTCCGGACGGAGTCAGATGAAAGAGGGAGCAGTACTCAAGTAGATTTTTTGCCACGACGAATAGAGGAGCAGAAGTTCAGAGGGACGAGTCTGGAGAAAGGGGGGGGCGAGTAAAGGAGAAAGAGGGGAGGGAGGAGAGGGAGGAGGAATCATAAGAGCGTTTGAGTGGGAACGTGAACGGGATCGATGGCGAGCTAGTGAGACACACAGATACCAAGACGCTAACCAAGTGCAGCAATACACATAACAACTGCAAACACATACGAACTGGTGAACACATCATGAAGCCGATGCCGAGGTAGACCTGGTGGTCTTGTGCACATATGCACATGCACTGACGGACGGACCTGCAGGGATAACGCCAGGCACGTGACCAGAAGCAACCTGGCACGTTCCCCCCCTGGAAGAGCGGCCCCACGACAAGCTACCCTCTGGACGCCCGAAGTGGGTCGGGCAAAACGGGTGCGATGCCCAACAGCAAATGTCGTTGAATTTCGGCAGCGGCCGCTCGGGGATGGACAGAACCCCCTTTAGTAAAACGTGGTTTAGTGACAACGACCTCGGGCCCAAAGCCGGCGGGCGCAAGCCTGGAGAATCGACGGCCGCGGCGCCCTCTCGAGCACCGAAGGCGGACAGTTCACTCATCGACGTGTCAGGGTGGGAGGTCTGTCCGCCCCCGAGCCGCTGCTGGGCAGGCAGCCTTCTGCCTCCACTGCGGCAGCGCCCGCGGTGGCACCAACAGCGCGCCCCGCTCAAACTGGTCAGGGTTAGGTCAAGCATGTCCCCCTCCAGGGGGATTTTGAACGAAACCAAACCAATTGTAAAACATACCCCCACGTGGTCAAAAACTATTCAACAAATAGTCCCCAGACTATGTTTTGACTATTTGGGGACACTCCCCCCGTAAAGGGACAGGCCCGACGTGAGGGCAGGGACTGCTGTCCGTCTTCGTCCCTCGGGGCAGGGCGAGCGGAGAGCGACAGCCCAACATCGGCCCGCGGACCCCATCCCGAGGTCCACACGCGCCAATGTTCCGATCTGCGCCCCGCCGTGCCGAGGCAGGGGACCCCGCGAAGGCCTACTACCATCGGGGGCGTCCAAGAAGGGGGCGTCCAGAGGGGGGGGGGCGCAAATCATGACCGGCGGCGTGCGCGCGGCACAGGAGGTGGGCCAGGGACGCTGAAGATGAGGCGCCACGACGTCTGTTCCGCGCTCGACTACACGCAAGAGCGACCCTGGGCAAGAGTGGCCTTTGGTGAGCGGCTTTGAACGGGCGCTGGTGGGCCACACCTACGCGCGCAGGCCGCTGCTATCGCATCGCGCTCAACCTTCGGGGGGGGTTCAGCGAGCCCGCACCACAAGTCACTCTGGCGAAAGGTCACGCTTACACCCTGCGAAATGCTTAAGAAATCATGGGTTAAGAAACTCATGGTCTCAGAACTTGAATAAAAACCCAGAACTTCTATCAAAATCTTGGGATTTACATTGGGAAGTTAAGAATAATCGAGACTCTGGCCGAAAACTTAGGTTTTCTTAAGCATCGCCTAAGGTGTACACGCAGTCGAAGCTTGGCCTCATGCCAGAAACCGGGCGAGAACGCCCAGCGTGAAGCAGAAGGCGGCGCGCCGGCCTCCCGAGAAAGCCCCGCCCGGGCAGCCTCTGGAAGATGGACTCTGGGAAGGAGGCGCGGACGAGGGACTGCCCGATGTCCTCCTCCTCCTCCTCCTCCTCCTCCTTCTCCTCTTCGCTCGTCCTCCTTTTTTTTCCTCCTCCTCCTCCTCGGCGGTGAGCGAGGGGGGGGGAGTGAGAAGGCGGAGGCATTCTCAGTAGGCGGCGGGACTCCTCAGAAGCCGTCATGCCTTCTGAGAAATCCTCTGCATCTTCGGGGACGGCTTAGAACAGGTCTGAGAACGGCGGGGAACTTTGGAGCCTTCCGAGAAGTCCCGCCCTCGCTCACTTCCCCCCTGGGATCGCCGCCGACCTCCTCTTCGTCCTCGTCTTCGCCCTCGTCCTCCTCCAATCGAGCTTTTTTCAAACGCACCATCGACCCCCCCCCGAGGTCTGGACCCCTTCTTTGGGACCAACTCATCGCACTGAATTGCTTTTTGACGGTCCTGGGGCCTGGCAAAGAACCCCCAAAAGCTAGAAATTGAAACAAAGAACCTTCCGTCGTGATCTCTGCCACACGATGCCAGAGTCCGACCCGTCCCCCCAATGCAACGCGGCGTCCCCTCCATCAATGACGACCTTCTCGCCCGGCGCCGGCGACAGCTCGTCGTACCTCCCGCGCGAAAGCAGGCAGGCAACCGTTCTAGCAAGCTTTGCTTGCATGGAAGGGGGAATGGGGGGAGGCTTGGCGACGCCTGACATGGAATCAGGACTTCACGCAAGCACAGGGACGCATTGGCACGCCGTTTCGGCCCAACAATTCTTGAAAAGAAAGGCGGCGGAGAGGGGGGGGAAGGGGGGGAATGCCATGCAAATGACCTTGCCCGAATCTAAAGAAAAACGCCCTCTACAGTGGAGGCCAGTCCACAAGAAACCTTCCACAAGAAACCCAATCCTGAGACCCCAGGACGTCCATTGATTTTTGGTGTGGGAGCGTCAGGCTTTTAACAGCAAAGAAATCGAAGCCCAAGAAACCCAGGGGGCACCCCGGAGGCAAGCAGGGTGTTTCTTGGCATGGGCCTCCACTGCATCGGACGCACCGTTTTGTACGGCCAGGTTCGTATCAGCATTTGGGTCCCAACCTTGAGGGGACTGGCTCAGGTTCGAGGCTCTCGGGGTTCGGGGCTCCAGGTTCTCAAGCGTTTTGGGCCAGGTCTCGGCGGCCTTCCAGCCTGGGGATGCCTTCCAGCGGCTGCGCCACGCCGAGGGCCGCGGGGTGTCTGGGACTGCCCAGATCGTCCCAGCAGGAGGGACGGCGATGAGGAGCGAGATGCGATCGGCTACTCGCAAGAGTGACCCTGGGTAAGAGTGCCCTTCGGTGCGCGGCTTTTTGGGGGCAGCGGGGGGACCAAACACGGGCGCGCAAGACGCTGCTATCGCATCGCGTTCGGCGATCGGGGGAACCCACTGGGCCCGCACCAAAGGTCACTCCGGCGAAAGGTCACTCTTACGTCTAGTCGAACAGGGGACTGGCCCAGGGGAAGGAGGCGTCGACCTGGCATCGGCGAGGCTCCCGATGGCAAATCCCCAAGTTCCTGGGCGGGGTGGGGCAATCAGACCCCTCCTGGCGATTGGTGGGCGATTTGGGGGTCGATGTGTTCGATCCTGAACTTAGCCGCCCCTGCCCGTCGGTCGGAAGGAGAGGGTGGAAACATGAGGTAGGGAGGCGCTGGAAGTAGACAGGGCTTCCGCCCCCCTGAAGAGGAAGGAAAAGGACAAAGCACTCGTCGACTGCCTAAAGTGAAGTGGGATCCAGGAATCCAGAAGTACCTACTTCCAACGACCGACGTGTACCTTTGCCCCTGACAACCCCCTCCTGCCCGCCTCCCCCTCCCTCTCTTCCTCATCATCATCCTGCCGAATCGCTTTTTCGCAGCTCGATCCAACCCTCCCGACCTGTGCGTCCGCCGCGTCCGCGCGACAAGATGAGGCTTCCCTCCGACCGAATTGCTCTCTTTAGCGGCGGGCAAGGGGGGGAAGTGAGAAGGCGAATGCCCTCCCAGAAGGCAGCGGGGCTTCTCAGAACTCTCCCGGCCCTCTGAGAAGCTCTCCGCGCCGCCGGGGAAGCCAAGAGACCTCCGAGCCTTCCGAGAAGGCCTTCTCCTTCCCGCTTCCCCCACGGGCTCGCCGCCGATCTCTGACGGTTCCGTGGCCCCGCAACGGCCCCCGGACGCGTCGAGCACGACGGACGCAACTCTGGCGCAGCTGCTTCGCGTCGCCAGGGGTCGGGGGCCAGATCTGGTCATACAATCTGGAAGGGGCCCTGGGACACACCAATGAATACACGCAAACAAAAGGAATTCCCCATATTTGCCCATACTTTCTGGGCTTTTGTCTTCCCCCCCACTTCCCATATTTTCCCATATTTTCTGGGGAATCGACGATTCATGGTGTCTGTGTGTTTTTCCCCCTCCTGAAACCTGTCCCTGGGCCTGTATCAAAAGCCCGTCCTGGCCGGACTCTCGGTGCGCATCCGGCAAAATGGCCACGCGAAGCCTCTCGGAGGCCCAGCCCTCGCTATCGCTCTCGGACGTCCGTGCTCCGTGCATGCTTCGGCTTCGTGCGTGCATGTTTTCCGTGTGAGATTCCCATGTGTTCCTCGATGGCCCTCGCCGAGAACAATGGAGGGCAGAAAATCCACCCCGAGAATAACCACCCCGACAAGCGAAGCCGTTTAGTAAACGCACCCGAAGAAAGAATCAAACAGGGCAGGGCCGTTTAGTAAACGCCCAGGGTCGTTTAGTAAACGCCAATTGTCGGGGTCGGGGTGGTTGTTCCTCCCTTGAAACAATGCACACGTCCGAGTGGTGCCAGGAAACAGGTCCGAACACCTGAATCCATTCCGACCCCTTCCCCAAGGCCAGTTCTTCATCACGGATGTCTGGTTGTGTAACGATCCCGAGACCAGCGAGGGCTTCCAGAGGCCGGTAAAGACAACCCATCGTAACATCGCCCGTCGGGATGATTCTTCACGACGCGATCATGTCTGGGAACAGGCCCCCCTTGTCCAAATGCCTGAAACTCTGCAAAGATAGAGCCCGAAATGAGTACGGAAAACGTAGGGCACGATGCCAAACGACACATGTTGTCCAACACTGACAACGGCCGCTGCTGGACAACCGGCCGTCTCTCCAGTGGACAAGGGCCACGGGGGCACCGACAACGAAGTCTGTTCAAAATGGACCCGAACTGTTGTCGGTCTTCGTGCCCATACAATTTCCGTACCAATTTCGATCGTACTGACGCTAATCAACGCTAATCAGCGCAACCTGATGCTAATTCGACGCTGCTCTACGCTAATTCGTTGTTTCCTTCCGTCGATTGCCAAACGCTCGCGCACGCTAATGCACCCCATGGCCGGAATTCCGACGACATCAATGTGTCGCAAACCAAACGTGCCCCCAAAGAACTTAGTTTTGTGGTTGTTGGACAGGGCAAAGCCATGTAACCGTGGTTGTTGGACAGGGCAAGGCCATGAGAACCAACATGGTAAAACAACTGGATGCCGAAACGGAAAAGAACCCGATCCCAAATTGAAGCCGGTGACGGAACCAAAAACACACGGCGCCAGAATTGAAAACACCACGGCGCCCGAACTGGGGACAACACCTGCAAAAAGATCACGGGGACAAATTAGGGAACCGAGCTCTATACACTGACGCTTTTCCGACCCTGCACTAAAATTTGCACATGAAAGCGGATCCCGGTGTATACTATACATTTTTCGCTCTCCCTTGGAAACAGATGCAAAATAAACTTCACCACACCACCCCGACGTCGTCCCCGACCCTCAAAAAGTCCTGGGATTGAAAAGCCGCGCGCCTCTGGAAATGTATGTTTAGAGTCCTCACAGATGGGGTCGGAGTAGATGGGGTTCGGGGATCGCGCGGCATGGCCGATGCGTTGGCGATGAGTCGGCGATGCACCGTCGACGTCGGCGATGCATTGGCGTCGTCGACGTGAAGCAAATCGGGCTCCACGATGAGCCGCATCGCCGATGCATCGGCGAGGCGGCGCGATCCTCCGACCCCATCTAACTATTCGGACCCCATCTGGGAGGTATAGAATTTCCAGTTTGCGACAGAGAAGAATAAAAACACCATGAATATATACTTTTGTCGTTCCGCGCGCATTTCTTGGACCTACGCCGGACCCCCCCTCCCTGGCGCGCGGAGCGCGCCAAGGGCCGGCGCCGGAGGCGCCGGACCAGGGGGGGCCCAGCGCGAATCCAAGAAATCAGCGCGGAGTGCACAACAAAACTTATATTTTATGCCGTTTTTTCTGCTCCGACTGGCGTCTCAACGCACCGCCGAGCCCAGGAGGCGCCCTCGGCGTGTGCTTTTTGCACCTCCGGCTTAAGTCGGGTCTGTCCCCCTACAGGGGGATTTTGGACGAAACATAACAACTAGTTTTAAATTACCCTGGCGACGTACCCAACCCCTGCGCAAAAGCGGGGCGCAAATAGTTTAGGATACTTTATAAGGGGGCGATGACGGAGCGAGGGTTACATATGTCTTCAGACGGAATTCGGGAGACTCGCAGGACACTGGCTACAGGAAAAGGGCTTGATAAAGCTGATGATTTACAATTCCTGAGCACTCCTAGCCACTTCGAAAACGGGGATCACAGCAGGCCTCGAAAGTGGCGACAGGTTCACAGATCGCAGCCCCGCAGGGATGGCGAGGTCTCATTTGAATCTGCCCGTGGCCCTCACTGTGCTGGGCCCCCCAGCAGGCCTCGAAAATGGCGGCAGTTTCGCAGATCGCAGCCCCCCAGGGATGGCGAGGTCTAATTTGAATCCGCGCGTGGCCCTCACTGTGCTGGGCCCCCCAGCAGGCCTCGAAAATGGCGACAGTTTCGCAGATCGCAGCCCCCCAGGGATGGCGAGGTCTAATTTGAATCTGCGCGTGGCCCTCACTGTGCTGGGCCCCCCAGCAGGCCTCGAAAATGGCGACAGTTTCGCAGATCGCAGCCCCCCAGGGATGGCGAGGTCTAATTTGAATCCGCGCGTGGCCCTCACTGTGCTGGGCCCCCCAGCAGGCCTCGAAAATGGCGACAGTTTCGCAGATCGCAGCCCCCCAGGGATGGCGAGGTCTAATTTGAATCCGCGCGTGGCCCTCACTGTGCTGGGCCCCCCAGCAGGCCTCGAAAATGGCGACAGTTTCGCAGATCGCAGCCCCCCAGGGATGGCGAGGTCTAATTTGAATCCGCGCGTGGCCCTCACTGTGCTGGGCCCCCCAGCAGGCCTCGAAAATGGCGACAGTTTCGCAGATCGCAGCCCCCCAGGGATGGCGAGGTCTAATTTGAATCCGCGCGTGGCCCTCACTGTGCTGGGCCCCCCAGCAGGCCTCGAAAATGGCGACAGTTTCGCAGATCGCAGCCCCCCAGGGATGGCGAGGTCTAATTTGAATCCGCGCGTGGCCCTCACTGTGCTGGGCCCCCCAGCAGGCCTCGAAAATGGCGACAGTTTCGCAGATCGCAGCCCCCCAGGGATGGCGAGGTCTAATTTGAATCCGCGCGTGGCCCTCACTGTGCTGGGCCCCCCAGCAGGCCTCGAAAATGGCGACAGTTTCGCAGATCGCAGCCCCCCAGGGATGGCGAGGTCTAATTTGAATCCGCGCGTGGCCCTCACTGTGCTGGGCCCCCCAGCAGGCCTCGAAAATGGCGACAGTTTCGCAGATCGCAGCCCCCCAGGGATGGCGAGGTCTAATTTGAATCCGCGCGTGGCCCTCACTGTGCTGGGCCCCCCAGCAGGCCTCGAAAATGGCGACAGTTTCGCAGATCGCAGCCCCCCAGGGATGGCGAGGTCTAATTTGAATCCGCGCGTGGCCCTCACTGTGCTGGGCCCCCCAGCAGGCCTCGAAAATGGCGACAGTTTCGCAGATCGCAGCCCCCCGCAGGCAAGACAGGAAAAGGCGGGAGGCGGGAGAAGGGACGCGACCACACTGCTCTATTCAAAACGAATACCCAACCAAGGAGGGTTGGGAAAAATACACTAAAATTATCCTGGCGAAAGTCCCAACCATATGCAGTCGTGGGTACCGTTATTGTGAATATCTGCTTCGGTGAAGCTCCCTATGGGGCCACGAAACGCTGCACTGGGCGGGGGGGAACGCTGTACTGTTTGGGTGGTGTGCCGAATTGGGTTAGCGGGACGCATGCGGACAGTCCCACTGAGGGCTTCGGTGGAGCTCGCTATGGGGCCACGAAGCGCTCCACTGAGTGAGTGACAGTGCCAAACTGGGCTACCGGGACGCATGCGGACGGTCCCACTGGGGGTTTCGGTGGAGCCCCCTATGGGGCCACGAAACGCTGCACTGCGCGGGTGAAAATGCCAAATTACATTTCCCTGACACATGCGGACGGTGGCACTGGGGCCTTGGGTGGAGCCCCCTATGGGGCCAGGAAACGCTGCACTGGGTGGGTGAAAACGCCACATTGGGCTTCCAGGACGCATGCGGACGGTAGCACTGGGCCTTCGGTGGAGCTCCCTATGGGTCCACGAAGCGCTGTACTGGGTGGGTGAAACGCAGGGAGGAGGGGGAGGAGGGCCACGAAACGCTGTACTAGGTGTGAGGGAAGCATGCGGACGGTAGCACTGCGACCTTCGGTGTTGCTCCCTATGGGGTCACGAAGCGCTGTACTGGGTGTGCGGGACGCATGCGGACGGTAGCACTGGGACCTTCGGTGGGGCTCCCTATGGGGCCACGAAGCGCTGTACTTGGTGGGTGAAACGCAGGGAGGAGGGGGAGGAGGGCCACGAAACGCTGTACTAGGTGTGCGGGAATCATGCGTAGCACTGCGACCTTCGGTGTTGCTCCCTATGGGCCCACGAAACGCTGTACTGGGTGTGCGGGACGCATGCGGACGGCAGCACTGGGACCTTCGGTGGGGCTCCTTATGGGGCCACGAAGCGCTGTACTGGATGGGTGAAACGCAGGGAGGAAGGGGAGGAGGGCCACGAAGCGCTGTACTGGGTGTGCGGGACGCACGCGGACGGTAGTGCTGGGACCTTCGGTGGGGCTCCCTATGGGGTCACGAAGCGCTGTACTGGGTGTGCGGGACGCAGGCGGACGGTAGCACTGGGACCGTAGGTGGGGCTCCCTAGTATGGTGCCACGAAGCGTTGTACTGGGTGGATGCAACGCAGGAAGAAAGAAGAGGGAGGAAGGAGGAGCACGCGGGGACCATCTCTTCAAAACGAGGACCCAACACCACAGGATGGCTGGGAATACTCAAGAATGGTAGAACAATCGCCCCCCGACTACTTTTGGACAATGTTTGAACCTTCCTCCTGTAGAGGGACGGGCCCGACTTAACCTCCGTCCGAGCGGGCGCGCCTCCGCTGCAGGTCGTCGTGGAGGGCCACCGCGATCGCCCGGCGCACGGCGCCGCGCGCCTGCTGCCGGCGGGCACGGGCGCCGGGGCGACGAGGGGCCACGCCGGGCACCGGGGGGGGCGGGAGGGCAGGACAGCAAAGGGCAGGTCGGGTTAGGAGGCAACTACTGGGAGGTTTTCGTCGGAAAGGTCAAGGAAAATTGAGCCTCATTTGGAAGCTGTTACGCCGGAGTGGGCCTCGGATTAAGCAGGATTAAAACGGATTTCGCGGGATTCAGCGGGATTAAGCGGGATGAAGCAGGATTAAAACGGATTTCGCGGGGTGGTCGCGGACGATCTGGTGACAACAAGCTGCCCCCGCCACCCTTTGGGGGGGCCATGGGGGCACGAACTGCCTGCCCCGCCACCGGCGGTGGCACCACGTAACCCGCCTCACGCCCAACAAGTCACGGTCACACGAAAACCTCCCCGTAGTTGCCTCAGGCAACTACTGGGAGGTTTTCGTCGGAAAGGTTACGGAGGATTGAGAGCCCCAGTTGGAAACTGTTACCCCGGCGTGGGCCTCGGACTAAGCAGGATTAAGCCGGATTAGGCGGGATTCAGCGGGATTAAGCGGGATCAAGCCGGATAAAGCCGGATTTCGGACCAGGGCGAAAACAGAATTGGACCTCCCAGGAGTTGAATCCGAAGTTGGAGTTAGAGAACCCAGGATTTTCTGCTTGGATCGCCCCGGGGGTTGCGAAGAGGATCGGGGGATGCAAGCGGATGCCAAGGTGGGTTGCCTGACCCAACGGTGACCCAGCTCAGAAATGGATTGCACGTGCCCTATGTGGCTTAACGGCGCACGGATCTGGGCTGAGTGTGCTGAGCCCACTTCGCGGAGTTACCCCATCATCCTAAGCCACATCGGGCACTTGTAACCCACATATAACTTGGGCTTGGCCAAATGAAGCCACTTTAGCATCCACTTCTCACGCCTTCATCCCCTTAACAACCACCGCGGCGATCCAGGTAGGGACTCGTTTTCCTCCACAACGACGAAGACCCATTCAATAACCACACCCCGAAGCCCTCCGAAGAGCCTCCCTGAACCCTTCCCCGAAGGTTTTCGAAGGGTTTCGGGAAGGCTTCGGCGGTCTTGACAGGAGACCAGTCCCTTTCGAACGCGCCTCCTGGCGGGGCCCACCAGCCCTCTGGGCGCAGGTGGTCTAACGAGATTCCTCTTCCCTCTTCCAAAAGACTCCTCTTCCCCTACGGGGAGGGGTTTACCCCTCCCCCGACCCCCTTTCCTGGATTTTTTGTGTGTGGGGGGGGGTCGCGAGGAGCCAGGGCGTCCAAAACGACCTCGGCGAGAAAGCCAACAATTATGTGCTTTACTAAGGTTCTGGCCCCATGTTGGCCTCTTTGGGGGGGGCACTGAACGTTATACCATCTCCTCCTTTGATCGATGGTCTTCAAGGTGGCCCCAAGAGGCCTTCCAGGGCTCCCAAGAGGGCCCCAAGAGAGCCCCAAGAGGGCGCCAAGAGGACTCCCAAACCCCCAAAAAGAGCCCCCAAAAAACTCCAATACCATCCAAAAAAATCCCAGCGAGCCCCAGGAGAGCCCCAAGAGGCGATGATGAGGGTTCCTGGGAAGGGACCGAAATCGAGGAACCCACATCTTATGATCGATGGCCCCATCTCTTCCTCCTCCTCTTCCCCTCGCCCCCACGCGGCGCCCAGGGATGGCCCGAAGAGGCCTTCCAAGGCCACCCCCTTGTTCCCAGAGATCTCTCGGTTCATCCTGCTTGCTCGATTTGTCTCCCTAAATGTGTCCCTTCGTCCCTTTTTCCCGTCAGATCTCGTGGGCAGGGCTTCTGAATTGGCTGGTGGGGGTAATTGTTTGGTTTGCAGGCTCGCGAAGGAGGCCGAAAACCGTCCGAACATCAGTCGGGCCGCGACTAGGCAGCAAGAGAATAGAGGCAAACGAAGCGAGCGCGCGGGCAACCACTCAGAAAACGAGCCATCAACGAAACTCCCGGGCCGGTGGCGTGGAGATCCCGGTAGCGACCAGCAAGTAACTGCAGCAAAAATGGCGCGGCGGCGCGACCTTGAACGCACTCGGTGTGAGTCGGCACAAGGCACCGTCAGAGACGAGCAAGACCGACAGGCACACCCGGACGACGTCCGTGCCGTAGGCGACACAACAGCATCGTGTCAACGCAAAGAGTGAAGAGGGGCAACCCCGTCACAGATAGGACTGCAAGCGGCAGTACCTCTTGTATGTACAGCAGTGGCACATGTCGAACGCGAAAATCTTGCAGGAGAGAGCAGCCGACGGGCGCACCGAGCCACACATGCCTAAGTCCAAGCACCGTGGAGGTCTGCAGCGTGCGAGACCCCACTGAACCCTTCGGGCGCCAGTGGAGGCCGACACCAGCCAGGAGCAGGCCAGGGGCCACCTAACCGCCCATTCCCAGTGTGATCCATGCGTGGAACTCTTATCGAGACCCCACAGAACCCATCGGTCACCAGTGGAGGCCGACACAAGCCAGGAGCAGGCCAGGGGCCACCTGACCGCCCATTCCCAATGTGATCCTTGCGTGGAATTCATGCAGAGCGCCGCCAGACAGCAGTATTGGCGGCAACCCCAGCCGCGCGGGATAAACCCTGTGAAACAAAGGAGAGGAAAAGGAAGGGCGCGCCAGGCACGGTAGGCACCCCGGTGTGGCAGCTAACCGCTGCAGCATTAGGATGCAGAACGCCAGGCGCACAGGCACAAGGAAGCAAAAAGGGAGGAGGGGAAAAGGCACGCCGGGCAGGGAAGGCACCCCGGTGTGGCAGTTAACCGCTGCGGCATTCGAATGCAGAAAGGGAGGGCAGGAAATGCGCGCCAGGCGCGCGGTGTGAGAGAAAGGGGCAAGACATTTATACTCGAACAGATACTGCTGATAAAGACAATCACAGTGGGCAGCCATTCCACATACCCGGTGCGTTGTCAAAACCGCATCTCAGCGAAACTGGGTGGTGCCCCACGCTCGGTGTTGTTGTCGAGCCGTTTCTCGGTCCATGGGCTCTCGGTTGCTCGGCTCCTCTTCCCAGCCGTGCCCAGAGCGCTCCCACCCTACTGCGCGCGGCCAGTGTCGGCGCCCACGAGATCCCGACCATCTCGCGGGGGTGCGTGGCCCCCCCTTGTTCGCGCCGACGCGATGTCCCAAGCGTTGCCCACGCACCAGCGCAAAGTGGATACCCGAGCCCAATGAGTCGCTCATGGCTCGACCGTGGCACTGTGAAATGAGGTCAGGAAGGCGACGCAGGTTCGCTGGTCGTGCCGACGCCGGTCGAAAACGCGCGCGGTGCCAGGGGCAGCGTGTTGCACGGCAAGGGCGTGCCGGACGGCTGTGAACGATGGACCCAGGGTGACCTGAAGGTAATTACCTGATCGTCTCGTTTGGTGACACTCCGTGGGGATCGGCGAACAGCCTGGGCGTCCACCCACTTCCCGTCCGACGCGTCAAGGATGCCCCCGGTTTGGCTGCCGGCCCTTTTCGGCAGTGGAGCTCACGTCCCCACCCGGGCGGGGGGCGTCTGGCGCGCTTTGCAAGGGTGCAGGGGGTGCCCCGTGGCTGCTCGTGGAGGCGCCCGCCCGTGTCGCGTCGCTGGCAGGGGAAAGAGGACGAATAGGGGAGAAAAGGGCTCCTCGAAACCAGCTGTAGGATGGCTTCGTTGTCCCACTCCTCAGGGGAAGGCTGCTCGATGGTCTCCTCGATGGTCTCTTCCCGAGCGGTGGGCTCTTCTTGCTCCTGCGACTTGCGACTATCTTCACGCTCTTCCCGGTGGAGGCGACTGACCGTCGCAGACTCTGTTGGATTCCGAGGCGGCTGGGTGTTCCCAGGGGTCGCGCTGCCAGTGGGTTGTGTTGGACGGTCGGCAAGGTCCTCTCTGTCTTCTCCCTGCCCCTTCTCCTGCGGCTCGCGACCCATTTCGCGCCCTTCCTGGTGTAAGTGACTAACCATCGCAGACCCCCTTGGAATCCAGGGCGGCTGGGTGTTCCCAGGGGTCGTGTTGCCAATAGGTTGTGTTGAACGCTCAGCGAGGTTCTCTCTGCCTTCTCCCTGCGCCTCACCCTGCGACTCGCGACCATCTTCACACTCCCGGTGGAGGCGACTGACCGTCGCAGAAGGTATTGGAATCCGAGGCGGCTGGGTGTTCCCAGGGGTCGTGTTGCCAGTGGGTTGCGTTGAACGGTCAGCAAGGTTCTGTATGTGTTCTCCATGCACCTCACCCTGCGACTCGCGACTATCTTCACACTGCTTGGTGGAGGCGACCGACCGTCGAAGAAGCGATTGGAATCCGAAGCGGCTGGGTGTTCCCAGGGGTCGCGTTGCCAGTGGGTTGTGTTGGACGGTCGGCTAGGTCCTCTCTGTCTTCTCCCTGCCCCTTCTCCTGTGGCTCGCGACCCATTTCGCAATCTTCCCGGTGTAGATGAACTACCATCGCAGAAACTGTTGGACCCCGAGGCGGCTGGGTGTTCCCAAGGGTCGCGTTGCAGCGGGTTGTGTTGGACGGTAGGCAGAGTCCTCTCTGTCTTCTCACTGCCCCTCACCGTGCGACCCGCGACAATAATCACATTCTTCCCTGTGGCGGCGACTGACCGTCGCGGACTCCTCTGGAATCCGAAGCGGTCGGGTGTGCCAAGAGGTCGCGTTGCCAAAGGGTTGTGTTGGACGGTCGGCAAAGTCCTCCCTGACTTCTTCCTGCTCCTCCACCTGCGATTCGCGATTATCTTCGCGCTCTTCCTGGTGGAGGGGACCCATTGCGCAATCTCCCCGGTGTAAGCGACTAGCCGTCGCATCTCGAGAAACCATGGGCAGGGAAGGAGGAGAAAAGTCAGTCTCAGGGGAAACTCCCTGCGTAGGCGGGGCGCCAGCCCACCCGTCGGTGTTTCGGGTCTGCGTCGCGGTCATGCCGCCGGGCAGCTGTATTGGACGGCCGCGCAAGCTAGGCCGGCCGTGGGGCTGGCCGTCGGGCTGGCCGTCGGACTGGCCGTGGGGCTAGCAGTCGGGGTTGGCCGCGGGGCTGG